GGTCCCCTTCTCCATGTCCTGGGTCCCTGGGTGGGCCCCGAGGCAGGCCCCAAGGTGCTAGCACGGGGTGCCTGGTTGTGGGAGGAGAGTCTGGTCCCGTTCTCCATGCCCCAGGTCCCCAGGAGGGCCCTGAGGTGTTGGTGGTGTACCTGGATGTGGGAGTGGGGTCCAGTCCCTGGCTCTAATCCTCGTGTTCCTGGGTAGGGCCCCAAGGTGCTGGTGGTATGAGTGGTTGTGGGTGGGAGTCCTGCCCCTGGCCTCATGCCTCATGTTCCCTGGTGGGCCCTAAGGCATTGGTGGTGTGCCTGGACCAGGACTAATTTTTTGTCCTTTGCTTACATCTAACATAGGGGAACTTCCTGTGGGGACCAGTACTTGAGCTGTGTGGTTGAGCTAAATTGCTGCTTTGCTGCTGTTTCCCTAGAGAAGACTTTTTCTGCAGCTTAGGGTTTAATGGTTGACCTACCTCAGGCTCTCCAGATACTTGGTGCACCTGGGTTGTGTAGAAACTGATCTGGGCCTGAGTTTTTTCATTAAACTGCACTCCATGCAGTTCTGCATTCCTGACCAGTCTCCTCTGAGTGGTCCTGCACTCACTGAGGGACAGATTGGCTGTCCTTGCTGTGCCACAGTGTTCTCGCAGTGGGCCTGTCTCACCGGTGCTCCAAACACTTCCCATGGTATGGGCCCTGCACCGGTCCCTTGTGATGACTCACAGGCCTCTGAGTGGCTCCCTTTTTTCAGTTGTTCTGGCTCCTTGCTCCTGCATGGGTCCACGGGAACCCTATTAGTGGTCTTGGTGTCCTGGGGCCGCCAAGACCCTCTTCTCCCCTTCTGCCTCCAAGTAACTCCATCTGAAGGGCACAGCTGTGGCTTCTGCCAGCTCCTGCTCCATGTGCTCAGCAGCTCCAGCCTTAAAGCAGCCATGGCCTGAAATGCTCAAAACAGCTTTTTCTTTCTCTCATTGTAGTTTCTCCCACCTTCATGAACTTCGTAGGTCTCTCCTCCTCTTCCCCGGAGCTCCAGCAGCCCCAGCTTGGCTGATGTTACATTTTTATCATTGTAAATTGGTTGATTTGTGGGAGAGGGTGATGCTGGGGACCGTCTATTCCACCATCTTGACTGGAAGCCCTTTCTTCTCTTTCTTAACAGTGTTGGAACCAAACAAACTTGCATTTGGATCTCAGTTCCACCACTTATACTAGCGACCTCCAACAAATTATTTAACTTCTGTGATCTTCAGTGTCCTCGGAGGTTAATGGAGATATTAATATGCACCTCAGAGGGTTGTTGTAAAGATTGAATAAAAAGTTGAAGAAATAAAGCACTTGGTAAATAACAGAACAAATATTGGTTCTTTTCTCATTCTTTCCTTTTATATATTTTTTTCCTTCCCTCTTTAAAAATAAGCTTGGACTCTTTAAATCATTGGTTCCTTCAAACTCTGAATATTTTATTATGCCTTTGATATCTTCTCACTTTTCTGTTTCTTCTCTTCTGTTTACTCTTCCTCCTCCTCCTCCTATTCCTTCCTCTCTCCTTCCTGTGTTTCTGCATCTGACTTTCTATCACAAGCCAAGGGACGTTGACCATAAACTCTGCACTTTAAAGTCTCTTCAGCCCTAGCAGTCTACTAGTCCTAAGATTTTCTCTTCATCTCTTCTCTTTTTCTGCTTTCTTGTCTTTTCATTACTTATAAGTTATTTAATTTCCCTGGGCCTCAGTTTTACCATCTGGAAAATGGAAATAATAATTACTAGATTGTTGTGAGCATCAAATGAGTTAGGTAAAGCTCTTAGCTCAGTGCTTAACACAAAGGTCTCCAAGATATCATTAACTTTACTCTCATTTGAACTTAGCAAGCCCGGTGTGAAATATGAAACACTATAATAATGTTTTGTTTGTTTGTTTGTTTTTGTTTTTTTAAAGAATCATGGTGAAGGGCTGACCAGTTAGCTCAGTTGATTAGAGCATGGTGCTGATAACACCAAGGTCCAGGGGTCCATCCCTGTTACTGGCCAGCCACCAAAAAATAAAATAAAATAAAAAATGGTATTTGGGTCTTCTCTCTTCTTTTTTTAGTTAGACTAGCTAACGGTTTGTCTATTTCATTTATCTTCTTTAAAAAATAACTTTTTGTTTTGTTGATCTGTTGTACCTTTTTTTGTCTCTGTTTCATTTAGTTCTGCTCTAATCTTAATTATTTCTTTCCATCTACTAATTTTGGGATTGGATTTTGTTGTTTTTCTAGTTCTTTTAGGTTTATCATTAGGTTGTGTATTTGGAGCCTTTCTATCCTTTTTTTTTTTTTTTTTTTTTTTTTTTTAACTAAGATGACCGGTAAGGGGATCTTAACCCTTGACTTGGTGTTGTAAGCACCACGCTCACCCAGTGAGCAACCGGCCATCCCTATATGGGATCCAAACCCGCGGCCTTGGTGTTATCAGCACCACACTCTCCCAAGTGAGCCACGGGCTGGCCCTGTAGTCTTTCTATTCTTTTGATGTAAGCATTTTTTGCAATAAATTTCCCTCTTAGTACTGCTTTTGCAGTATCCCATAGGTTTGGGTATGATTTTTTAAAATTTTCATTAGTTTCACGAATATTTTTGATTTCCTGTTTAATTTCTTCTTTGACCCATAGGTCATTCAGGAGCATGTTGTTTAGTTTCCATGTAGTTGTATAGTTTCCAAAGTTTTGCTTGTTATTGATTTCTAGTTTTTATCTGTTGTGTTCTGAAAAAAGACTGAGAATGACAACTGCTGGCGTGGATGTGGAGAAAGGGGAACCCTTTTACACTATTGGTGGAACTGTAAATTAGTACAGCCTTTATATATATATTTTAAAGATGACCAGTAAGGGGATCTCAACCCTTGGCTTGGTGTTGTCAGCACCACGCTCTCCCAAGTGAGCCAACTGGCCATCCCTATATAGGATCCGAACCCATGGCCTTGGTGTTATCAGCACCACACTCTCCCGAGTGAGCCACGGGCCGGTCCATAGTACAGCCTTTATAGAAAACAGTATGGAGGTTTTTCAAATAACTACAGATAGAACTGCCATATGATCCAGCAATCCCACTCCTGCTTCTCCTGCTCCTACTGGGTATATACCCAAATGAAAGGAAATCATCATGTTGAAGGGAAACCTGCACTCCCATGTTTATCATAGCTCTATTTACAATAACCAAGATATGGAACCAACCTAAATGTCCATTGACAGATGACTGGATTAAAAAATGTGGTATATATAACACAACGGAATACTACTCAGCAATAAAAAAGAATGAAATTCTGCCATTTGCAGCAACATGGATGAACTTGGAGAAAACTATGTTAAGTGGGGCCAGCCCGGTGGCACACTGGAGAGTGCGCCGCTTGGGAGCGTGGCGGCGCTCCCTCCGAGGGTTTGGATCCCATGTGGAGACCGGTTCCCGCTCACTGGCTGAGCGCGGTGCGGGTGCAACACCAAGGGTTGTGATCCCGTTGCCAGTCAGTAAAAAAGACAAAAAAGGAAAAAAAAAAAAAAAACTATGTTAAGTGAAATAAGAAAGAGAAATACCACTTGTCCTCACTCATAAGTGGGAGTTAAAAAAGAAAGAAAGAAAGAAAAAATAAACAACAATAATATGCTGAACTTTCAGGAGGAGAGAACAGAACTGTGGTTATTAGAGGGAGGAAGGGAAGGGGAAGGGGGTTAGGGAGAACCTGGTTGATGGACGCAACAAATGAGTACACTTAGTGATGACGAATATGCATCCTGATTTGATCATCACATACTGTACACAAATACTGACAGTCAGCTCTGCACCCCACAAATACGTATAATCAATTCTTTCAACTGAAAAAATAAAAGAGATTTAGTCATAGTGAGAAAAATAAAACAGGAAATCTGAACTAATTAAAATAGATAAATAAAGTATCATAGTGAAGTGGAAAGATGGTCTGGAGTTTGAAAAGACCTAGGCTCGTTGGCTTGCTGGTTAGCTCAGCTGATAAGAGTGCAGCCTTGTAACACCAAGGTCAAGGGTTTGGATCCCCTATTGGTCAGCACCCCCGCCCCCCAGAAGGGACCTAGGCTCCAGGTAAATCCCTGGATTTTTATGAGCCTCAATGTCCTCATTTTTAAAATGAGAACTAATAACATACACCTTCTTTCCACCTAGGGTTTTTTTTTTTTTTTTTTTTTTCTACCCCAGGAATTAGAAGAGTCAATGTACCAAAAGCGTCACCATAAACTACATGTTGTAATCATGGGAGAGGGTGTCCCGGAGTCACACTGGGGACACAGTACAGTCGTGAGGATTCAATGGGATAAAAATTTAAAAGATCTCTAACCAATAGTAAGCACTCAATACATGTTAGCTATTATTACTTCCTTTACCGTTTTCACTTCTTTCCTCCTCCTCCTCAAAAAAGCGAGTGGTCGGGCCAGCCCGGTGGCGCACTGGATAGTGCGCCGCTTGGGAAACGCGGCGGCGCTCCCGCCCGAGGGTTCGGATCCCACATACGGACCGGTTCCCGCTCACTGGCTGAGCGAGGCGCGGGAAGCAACGCCGAGGGTTGCGATCCCGTTGCCGGTCCCCGGTCCGGTACGGGGGCAACACTGAGGGTTGCGATCCGTTGCCGGACACGGAAAAAGACAAAAAAAAAAAAAAAAAAGCGAGTGGTCGAACTACCCAAGTGACCTGTTACTGCTTCCGCCCTCTCTCGTCCCCACACCCCGCCTCCGTTTTTTTCTTCTCCATCTCTTCTTCCGTTCCAGCTTTCCTCTCGCCCCGGGCACTCCGTGCAGCCCGGGTCTCCAGCTCTCGGGTGGCTCGGTGGGTGAGACCACGGGCTCGCTCCGTGTTTAGCGTCTGTGCTCTTCCACCAGTAAAGTTTTATTGAAACAAAGCAGGAAAAAAAGGCGCCCGTCACTCTCTCCCAGCAACCAATCAGAGACTAGAATGCCTGTGCGCCTCACCGGCGCGTCAGCGGTCGGAAGGCGGGGGCGGGGCTTGTCCTGCCCGAAACCTGCGTCGTAAGAGCGGAAGTACGGCCGGAAGCCGGCCACGGAGCTGAGTGGCCGGGGCGACTCTGCCGGGAGGTGGCAGGAAAGGCTCGGAATAGCTGCCGGAGGTGACGGAGCAGCGGCCCCGCCCGGTGCGCTGGAAGACGAAGCGTCCAGGCCGCGGCCCGCAGAATCTGACTCAGGGTACGACGGGGCAGTCGGCGGGAGCCCACGGTCCCTGGCGGCCTCTTTAATGGAGGGGGCGGAGCCACGTGTAAGGAGCGTGGGGACGAGGTCACGTGGGTGGGGGTACGTGAGGGACACGAGTGGAGACCTGAGGGAGCGCCGTCGTTGGGGCGGGTCCCACATGACACCCCTTCCAGCGCCGCACCCTGCGCCTTGGGGTTCGGTGGGGTGCACGTGGTGGGGGTTAGCGGTTAGGCCCAGGGAGAGGGTGGGCGTGGCAGCTCTGTTAAGCGGCCGACTTTCGGTTTCCTGGATCGGAGTTCTAGATCACATCTGATTCCTCACTTTAGAAGTGACTTGGTACCTGTACAGCCCAGCTCCTCGACCTTGTGCTTCCCATCCTGCCCGTGTTCAGGGACCTCTAGCTTCACATCCTCTTTCCTTGCAGCTCCAGCCATCCTGAGCCCAGGTCCCTCCAGATCAGTGAAGCCATGAGTGCAGAGGTGAAGTTGACAGGGCAGAACCAGGAGCAATTTCTGCTCCTGGCGAAGTCGGCCAAGGGCGCAGCACTGGCCACACTCATCCACCAGGTGCTGGAGGCCCCTGGTGTCTACGTGTTTGGGGAACTGCTGGATATGCCCAATGTTAGAGAGGTGGGTTGCTGGCCACAGGGAAGCTTGGGGCAAAAGTTTGAATTTGAGAATGGGTGGGCAGGGCTCATTTTGCGACCGCACAACCCTTCAGTTGAACAAGAATACAGTGGTGATTAACTGGCAACTTACAAAAGTAAGCAAGCAGGAAACCTCTTAGTTTCCCTTTGGAGATGAGGCAACTGTAAAGCCCAGTATTTTTCATTTTTAAGCAAAGGAGCATGTTATTCAGAATAGAAGACCTGAGTTCCAGCCTGCCTGTACCACTGTAATAGCTATTAATAATCATATCACTTTGATCAGAGCATTTCTATTTTAGGGCTTCAGTTTTCTCTTAAAAATGGAGATGATACTGCCCTTCACTGTTGGAATCAAGTGAGGAAAGTGTAAAGCCTGGTGTAAATGGAAGGAATGAGTATGTTACATTAGCATGCTTTGTTCTTCCCCCTGTGCAGCATATACTAATACACTTAAGGTAGGTAAGGGAGAAGGGGTCTTTTCCCAAAAGACACATGGCAAGCTACTAGGAACACCACAGAGAGAACTGTTCACACCAAAGTGGCAGAGTTGAGAGTTTAAAAGTCCAGAGCCCATGGGTCACCAGGACTTGTGGCACCAGCCCAAGTCCTGACATGCTATGACAGTGGTATGTGGGTAAACTGTGAGCCAAGTTTTTGAGGGCCTGTCATTGAGTCAATGGCTTTAGCTTCTTTGGATTACTCTGTGGTATGGGGAAAACTGTGGCTGCCTTTTTCCCTGCTTTCATCTGCAGCAGATCTAAAGCATGTCAGTCAAGGTGCCTGTTTAGTACTCTACATGTGGACTGGGGATACCAGAAGATTACAAGCCATGGGGCTTACCCTTCTGAAGCTCATATTCCAGTTGAAGAGATAAGATGAATGGATATAAATCTATTAATTTAGCAAAGTATTTATTGTGAGAGCCAACTGCTTGCATAGCTCTGCTAGATCGTAGTGGGATACCAGAGACTAGGTCTATAATCTTGTTGAAAGGAAAGATATTTTTAGGTAACAACTCTCTGCAGGGCTTGGTTATGTGCCAGAATGAGTGATCAATGATAGGAAGAGAGGAGATCTGGGTGGGCTCAACTGGGTGATGCAAGACAACCTCCCACTGAGGTGGGTCTGAAGCAGAAGCCACACATTTAGATGCCTTTCTAGGCTGTGCAGCTGTCAGAGATGAGTGAGGCTGAGGCAGTAGTCTTGGGTGAATTGGGGAGTACTGCAGATTGCCTAAATTTGTTCACATTCAGAAATAACACACTCTGAGGGCCAGACAACACGATTTGCAATGTCTGGTGTGTGTCTGTCAGATTCTGAACACTGCATAATTTCAACCCTGAATTTAGGATAGGAGCTGGATGATGTATGGAGGAAAAAGGGCATTGTGGATTGGGAGAATAGTGTAAATGAAAGCCTGGAAGTGGAAAAGCTCTTCCTGTTGGGAGAGTGATCAGAGAGGCAGAGAACTCTTTTTGCTGGGCCAGGAGAGGTAACATTGGCCAGGAAAGATGGGGCCAGAAATTGGAGTTAAAAACAGGGTGAGGCTGGGAGGGTGGAGAGGGAGGCTCTTCCTGTCACCTCTTGTCTTCCCTCATGTTCTTGCAGCTGGCTGAGAGCGACTTCGCTTCCACGTTCCGGCTGCTCACAGTGTTTGCGTACGGGACATATGCTGACTACTTAGGTAACCAGACAAGCTGGAGCTCTGGAGTAATTGAGATGAGAGAATGGCAATTTCTGGAGAGATTTAGAAGAGATTGCTGGGATACCCCACATATATACCCTGGATGCACAGGGTCAGGGTCAAGGCCTGAATTGGCATGGAAAATTTAAAAAAAAAAAAAAAATGCAGGGGAAGAAGGCTAGGGCTTCCCATAAAACTGAAATCAGGATTCCCTTCACTTTGTCATTTTTCCCTAGCTGAAGCTCGGAATCTTCCCCCACTCACGGAGGCCCAGAAAAATAAGCTTCGACATCTGTCAGTTGTCACCCTGGCTGCCAAAGTCAAGGTGAGTGACAGTCCCCCCCGTCCTAAGCTAATGAGGTCTAGACCATCCTTTAGTACATCCCTGGGGGGTTGCATTAGGACGGCCTGTGACCAGACTGTTGCTTCTTCCCACTCTCCCCTCCTGCAAGGTCTGTATCTAAGCTCCTTTACTGTTTAGTCTGAATATTATTCTTAGTTTTCTGTGTTTTATTTTTTAATCAACTTAAGCCTAAGTAAACATCTTTTATGTTTTTGGTCAAAGTATGAACTAGGATGCTGTTCATGTGCTGTTTAACAAGTACGTTCCTCTCCACTGCATTAAGTCCTATGTGAACCAAGCCTCTGAGCTGAGAACAGGGCTCTCTTCTGAAGTGCTAGGCTGTTATTTGTTAGGATAAGAAATGTATAATCCAGGGCTGGCCCTTGGCTCACTTGGGAGAGTGTGGTGCTGATATCACGAAGTCAAGGGTTAAGATCCCCTTACCAGTCATCTTTTTAAATAAAAAAAAGAAAAGAAAAGAAATGTATAATCCAGAAGTATCTCTGTATTCCTTTTAGGCTCAGGTTTTTTTTGTTAAACATCACCACCACCACCACCACCCTCAATCTGCGCTCTCCCAATTGTTACTTGATTCTCAAGTTGATCTCGTTGTTACTTAAATCAGGCTCTCTGTTGTGAGATGCCTCTAAAGGAGTGCCTGCTTGGAAGTAGGTGGAGTATAAATGAAAGCGCCAGGTCTCTCTCATTACTGCATACTCCCATTATGTCAAGCTTATCTTGACCAAGGGCTATGTGATATCCTGAGCTGTGGCCAAAGGAATGACACCAAGGCAGATGTCACTTTCCCCCTCTGTGGTATGGGGGATGAGGGTGATAGGGGAACATGAATCTTCTTCTTCTTTTTTTTTTTTAAAGATGACCGGTAAGGGGATCTTAACCCTTGACTTGGTGTTGTCAGCACCACGCTCACCCAGTGAGCTAACCGGCCATCCCTATATGGGATCCGAACCCATGGCCTTGGTGTTATCAGCACCACACTCTCCCAGGTGAGCCATGGGCCAGCCCTGAGTCTTGTATTTTATTTAAGATTGTTCTTTTCACGATGCTGTTTTTGAAGTAGGGGTCCTTTTTATTTATTTTGCCTTAGAACTAGCTTTTTAGAAGAAATGATTTAGGAATAGGAGTGGGGGGCAGATGGGCTTGGGCCTGGGGAGAAAAGAGGGAAGAAGATTCTTGGAAGCTCTTCTCTGCTGCGGAACCTCACACATCCTGGCCTGGCCTCCGGGCCCCAGTGCATCCCATATGCAGTGTTGCTGGAGGCCCTGGCCCTGCGTAATGTGCGGCAGCTGGAAGATCTTGTGATAGAGGCCGTGTATGCCGACGTGCTTCGCGGCTCCCTGGACCAGCGCAATCAGCGGCTGGAGGTGGACTACAGCATTGGGCGGGACATCCAGCGCCAGGACCTCAGTGCCATTGCTCGAACCCTGCAGGAATGGTGAGATCTGTGTCCTGGCACTGTCCTTTCCCTTCCCACCCCAAGAAAGGGAGAGGTGCTTCAGGGTAGGAGAGGGCAGGGGCTGGGTTGCAGAGGTGGAGCTCAGTAGGATGAAGGGAAATGAGCTTGTTTCCCCAAAGGCTTCTGAGGGAAGGAAGAAGTGGAGGAGGCCCTGGGAGGCAGGACTCAGTGTCCTTGGTATAGAAACTGGTGGACGGAAATGGGAGTGACACTCTTGAGGGCATCCTAACCTGAAGGTTGATCACCTGTCTTGGGCTGGATTCAACCCATTTGTTTGTAACCACCATTGTCCAGAGACCATGTGTCTCTTTCTCTTTGTGTCCCTGTCTAACTTTGTGTGTTTTTAATTAATTCACCTTTTTTCTCTTTAACACCTCCTACCCTGTTTTGTTCCCAGTTCCTACTCCCAGCTTGCACATCCTCCAGGAACTTTTTTATCTCTCTTATTCTACCTGAATGTTCATTTTGCTGCTGGGAGTGTTGTTGCGGGTGGTTTCCAGGTGCCCTGGTGAACTCAGACAAGGGTTTGGATGCCAGGATCTCGGGTTTGGGAATCTGTTTTTCATGTGTCTGTGATCACAGCCCTCTTCTGCTGACACTTTTCATCTCCCCTGATTCCCACAGGTGTGTGGGCTGTGAGGTTGTGCTGTCAGGCATTGAGGAGCAAGTGAGCCGTGCCAACCAGCACAAGGAGCAGCAGCTGGGCCTGAAGCAGCAGATTGAGAGTGAGGTGAGCAGGCAGGGGAGCAGGACGGACCCAGGCACGCCAGCCTGGGCCACCTGTCCCATGTAAGGCGGTTTGGATGGTGGCTGTAGCAGACAAGATGGGCAGGGGCTGTCAAGTTCTAGAACCTTCCTCACTATCCCCCATTCCTTTCCTCCTGCTAGGTTGCCAACCTTAAAAAAACCATTAAAGTTACAACGGCAGCAGCAGCTGCGGCCACGTCTCAGGACCCTGAGCAACACCTGACTGAACTGAGGGAACCAGCTGCTGGCACTAACCAGCGCCAGCCCAGCAAGAAAGCCTCAAAGGGCAAGGGGTGAGCCAGTGTGGCAGGGACTGCTCGCTTCCGGGGTGCCCCGCTGCTGCCTCAGGGACCCGGTGGCCCTCACTTCCTTTAGTCGTTTGCAGGGGGGTAGGGAGTGGGGGGCACCTCCAGTTGTTAGGGGATTCCCTGCATCCTCTCTCTCTCTCTCTCTCTCCCCCCCTTTCTCTCTCTTCCCCTTGCCAGGCTCCGAGGGAGTGCCAAGATTTGGTCCAAGTCGAATTGAAGGGACTGTCGTTTCTTCCCTGGGGATTTGGGGTCCCAGCTGTCTGCCTGCCCCTTAGGAGTCCTCAGAGAGCCTTCCTGTGCCCCTGGCCAGCTGATAATCCTAGGTTCATGATCCTTCACCTCCCCCATCCCCAAGCATAGATCACACCTTCTTTAGGGAGGAGGCAAGCACAGGTCATGTTTTTGTTGGTACTTTTTGTTTTATGTGGCTTTCTTACGTGTTCCACTGCTCCTCCTCTCTGCCATGCTTTCTCCCCCATTTCTTTAAGAGCTCAGCATCTGTCCCTGTACATTACATCTGTCATTGAGTAGGTGGGTAGTCCTGATGGAGGTTACTCTGTCTCCCGCATAACCTATGGGTTTTCCTTCTCCTACTGCTTGTCTCTGCATGCATAATCCACATTTCCTGCTTCCTACCCCCCACCTTTTGTGTGGCGTCTAAAGAGCCATAGGGTCCCAACCTTTATTCCCACCCTGAGAGTTATAAGAGCCAGTCTGCCATTCTAGGAGTCACTGGACACTTTCATCCTAGAATCCTGTCACACTATAGCTGTTTTCTTTCCTCTCTCTTCCCCTTGGGTTCTGGGAATGCTGCTCCTTCAATGACCCCAGAGCCTAAGAAGGGAAACTATTTCTTAGATGTTGAGAGATGGTTCTTTCTTGGCCTTGACCATCTTTGGAAGCCTGAAGGCAATCCTGGAAGGATTTATATCTCCTTTTGTGAGTTTGGTAGGGAAGGG